TCCGCCGGAAAAGAGTGTTATTTTGGTAGTGAAATGGTTAGAAGATCAAAATTCTAATATAATGAATAAGATTACTTTCAACATCCTTACATAAACGAGTTTATTCTTTGAATTTAACCATATAGAGATAGAGAGAGAGTTTATTCTTTGAATTTAACCATATATATAGAGAGAGCGTGCTTGGTTCAAATGTTAACCAAGATTATTATGTTAACTTTGTTAATCAAGCTCAATCAATGAAAATCCATATTTTATCTAGGTTTATATCCATCTCATAATTTAATAACAAAGGTAAATATGTAATTTTAGTTTGTATGTAACTCCCATATCATTAATTGGGAGTTACAAAATCAAAAAATCACATAATTGTTGTTGATTTACTATTGATCTTGTTTTTCTATAATATTGATTTGTCTATCTATAATGTTCTCGAATTTGTGATTGTTAAAGGATACCAAATAGTAAAGTTTTCGATATCGTTCAAGCTAATATGGATAAACTCATTGGAAAACAACTCGACAACAATGAGAAGGTTAAAATGGTTTACGATGATAATCGGACTTCGAGTTCCGGAAATGAAGACAAGAATCAAAGTGTTTGTATTGGTAATGGATTACTATGTTATTATATTTCTTTTAATCGAAATTATGTTCATTATGACGTTTTTGTGATTTTTATAGTTCATATTGTGTTGATAGTTTTTTCTTTAATTATTACTACGAACCCAATTCATATGTTCAAATGGAATGAGTTCATCGTCAACTTAATTTGTTATGCATTTCAATTCTGATAACCATTCTACTCCATCAGCTACTTGTGATGTTTGACTTGCTATAGACTGCAACTAGTGTTTATATACGTTCAGATGTGTTCATATATGTTCAAATGTGTTTATATATGTTCTAGTAGGGACATGAATCAATGCATCTAATATTGAATTTATAATTTTTGTTAATTTATTTTTGATCTTGTTTTTTTATAATATTGATTTTTCTATCTATAATGTTTTTGAATTTGTGATTGGTAGAAGAGGTCTAGTAAAGTTTTCGGTATCGTTCAAGCTATTATAGATAAACTCATTGTTCATAATGAAGAAACTATTATTCATAAGTGTTCATATTGTATCCATATGTACACTAGCTGCATTTTCTCAACATTGGCTCGCTCCTGAATGTTTTCATAATGAAAGAATTATTGTTCACAAGCTGTTCATATTGTGATACCTGTTTTTTTATTTATTTCCTTTCGTGTACTAGCTATTCTAATTATGTTCGTATTGTGTTCATAAATGTTATGCAGTCTAAGTTCATATATATGTCAATTTTTGTTTGTATTTGACACAACGGTTCATATATGTGTGTGTGTGTGTGTGTGTTCATATGGTTCTTACATTTACAAAAATAAATTAACAAAAATAATGATATTTTTTAATTTTGTAACTCTCAATTAATGATACGGGAGTTACATAAAAAAGAAAATTACTTAACTACCTTTTTCCCCTTTGTTCACATATGTTCTTTGAATTGTAAATTTAAAAAATTAATTTTTTATCATGATTAATCACAACCATTTATGGCCAAGATTGGTTAACAAAGTTAACACAATAATCTTGGTTAACATTTGAACCAACAACGATATATATATATATATATATACATACATATATATATATATATATACATACATATATATATATATATATATATATATATATATTAGAAGGGTACTCGTACAATGCAACGAGATAAATCTCTATTTTAATGTTTAGTTTTTATTCTTCTCTATCGATATCATACGATTTTATGTGGTTTTGAGATAACGATATTATTTTTATTTTTGAATAAAATATAAATTTGAAGATAGCATAAAGATTTTAAAAAAATAAATCGATATTAGTATCAAATTAACTATTTAATAATTTTCGTTTTTTTATGTAACTTATTTAATTCAATTTTTTATTAGATGTTAATTTATATTTAATAACAAAGTAATTTGTTTTTGATTTAACTACTTGTCTACCTGCGCAATACAACGGGATGTAAAAAACTCATTAAGATTATTCAAAATTTCTTAAAGATGTAACAAAGCTTACTACATTTGTATCTAATTAGATTCAAATATACATCCATAATCACAACCCTTAATCACAACCCGAATGACTAGAGCGATGGTGCAAGATACAAGCATTTGTCAAGGACTGGAGCGGTGGAATAAGATACTCGACCCGAATCACAACCCATCTCGAATATATTGAATCAAATAAACCCTTAAAAGCAAATGGGTTTGTTAATGTATACAAATGCTGTAAATGTAGATCCGGAACTCCGAAATGCCAACATTTAAAATAAGCAGCTAGCTCAAACCCTAATAGTAAAATGGAAAGTCAAAGGAAGACTTTTATACAAGTATAAAAACGTGTGGAAGTTGTAAGGGCGTCGGTGCGACTGGAGGAGAGACGGCAAGGAACGGCAGAGGGGAGGAAAAATGTAGCTGGGGCAATGGAGGTGATTGGGAAAAATCAATCGTGAATTATGAAAATATGAGGTTTACATTTGAAATCTGAAATGGTAAGAGAGTTTTTGATGGTAAGATGAAAATCTTCGAAACATAAAGGGTCAAATTTTGAAAGGGGTAGATGGTTTGAATTTTAAATGTCTATTAGGAACCAAAACTAAATATGGGAAAAATAAAACTTAAAAGTATGAGTTGTAAAAGGTGAAGGATTGTTGAATCGTACCATATGCATAAATGACTTGTAATTAAAACTTTTAAGACTTTATGCATAAAAAAGCAGTACCTTATGCATTTAAGATTGTTTTTAAGATTTTTAGCAATTCTGCTTTATAAGCCAGTATAAATAATATAATTTTTTATAAAGATAATAATTAAAAATTCTGTTAGAACCAAATTATTGTCTTAATTATAATTTAGATTTTTAATATTAGTTACAAGAATTTAAAAATAGAACTTTAATAATTTATACTTATGTAAAATTACTTGTAATATTAAATTTTAATTAATATATATATTAATAAACAGTATTTAATATATAAAAATGATATTTAAAATTTTTTATTAAATAATTTATAATATAGTATAGATGTATATAAAAGAAAAAAAACAAGAAGCTTAAAAAACAAACCTAAAACAATGTAAAAAGCCAAGAAACACCTTACATACGAAGTCAACATTTATGGCTTTATTTGGTTGCTTCCAAGAAGCTCTCTTGGGTGTAGATGCTTTATAATGAGCTTCCAGAAGTAGCCAAAGTCCATCCAACCCCACGTGGCACAATCAAGAAAAGTCCATAGTTTGACCAACGACCAAACTTCCTATTCGTTTTATTCTTTTCGTATTCATCGCCATCAATTCAACCATTTCAATCCTTAATCACAATTCTCTCTCGTATGTGATGAGTTGGAACCATGTCAAGATCCAACGATGAATGGCTGCAATTCTACCAAAACAACCAACCGGCAACCATGCAAAGCAGCTGGTCCGGTGACGCTGCCCCGGTGGTCACCGCCACAAACACCGGTGTCTCTAATCAGCTCAGCAGGGTAACACGACCCACTAACACCAACAACCGTAGACGGTCAAGGGCTTCCAGGAAAACGCCGACCACCTTACTCAACACCGACACCAGCAACTTCCGTGCCATGGTTCAACAATTCACTGGTGGTGGCAACGTTGGTGCTGCTCCCTTGCCATCACACGATCACTCCTCCTCTGTAACTGCTACTCATCATTCTTTGAACACTTACAGCACTACTTCATCTAACATCAATGATGGGGTCGCATCAAGTAGTCCAGTAGGAGGGCTGTTCCCTCATGATGGCCGTAACGTGCAGTACCGGCAACAACATAGCCGACAGCCATATTTCACGATGACGGTGGACGACGGTGGAAGTAGCACCGGTTATGATGGCGATGATCAAAATCTGGGGTACGGACAGAGAGGGCCTTATAGTTATAATTGGTAAAGAGAAGAACATGGTTCTCAAGTTGTCATCTAAGAATAAGAATTATGGGTTTTAATTGGCTCTCATGATAGCTACTAAACTCGTAGGCTTTAATTAAAATCTATGTTATATACATTTAAATAAGACAAATGTCTACCTTGTTAACTTAGTTCTTGGCTTTCATATTATATAATTAGATAGAGCAAATCCAGGAATGTAAATTTCTTATGTATTGTTCATTTGCATCTTGTTTGGATAGAAGTTAAGATGATAATATTCATCTTTGTGTACTAACATTTTATGTATATATATATATATATAAGTAACTTGGTTGTCACGTGCCGTTTTATTGTGCGACGGTTATAAGGATTTCTCGCCTAAACATGTATGTATACACAATTTACATTACTGGTTCAAATGAGCTTATTTAATTAACATTTGTCCCTGTAAACATAACTGATTTCCGTATGAAAAGAGATTTCTTTTCACAGACTTAAATAAGCAAAAGTCTGGATTTCCATTCCTCAAGACTTATAAGTCTGATCTCTACAGACTTTTTCCACAAACTTAAATGGCAAAAGTCTGAAATGTTGTTTTCCAGACATGGAATACAACTCTGAACTTTAGTCCAGAATGATTTTCCAGGGTTATTTTGTTGTATTATAAGTGTCAATTATGGTTGTGCCTTTGCTATGATAACGATAAATGTACAAGTCTGAGCTATGCAGCCTTCTTTTCCAAACATAGAAGTCTGATCTCTACATACTTTTTCAAAAACTTAAATAAGCAGAAATTTGGATTTCCATTCCTCAGACTTATAAGTTTGTTCTCTACAGACTTATAAGTTTGTTCTCTACAGACTTATAGGTCAAATTCGGATGAGAAAATTTACAAGTATAAAAGTCTGGGAAATTTAGAGTTGCAAGTCTGATTTTTACTATGAAGTGTCTTTCAGACTTGTAAGCCTGAATATAAGAATTCAAATGAAGTCTAAACTGTGATGTCTGAACTACATTAGGTATCGGTTATTTCCCAGACTTGCAACATAACTCTGAATTGGTTTGGTTTAGACTTATTTCCATAGTTACTTACCAGGCTTAGAATACAACTATGAACTCCTCTTCATAGTTGAACTTCAGAGTTTCGTTTCTGAATTATAATAAGTCAGAATTCTTGTGATTCAGAGTGATGCTCATAGATACTTTCCAGACTTAGAAGACAACTCTGAATTTCTCTTATTCAGAATTAAGTCCAGAGTTATTTTTTATCCTAACAACATAACTCTGAATTCTTGTACTTCAGAGTTAATGTTTAGAGTTTTTTTAGACCTAAGCAAAAGTCTCAACTCATTTTCTTCATTTAAAACTCAGAGTTGTCTTCCAAACTTATATGATATACAAGTATAAAAGTCTAGGAAAATCAGAGTTGTAAGTCTGAATTTAACTCTGAAGTGTCGTCCAGACTTCTAAGTATGAATGCAGGAATTCAAATGAAGTCTGAGTGTGAAGTCTGAACTACATCAGGAATTGGTTATTTGCCAGACTTACAACATAACTCTGAATTGTTGTGTTTTAGACTTATTTCCATAGTTACTTCCCAGACTTATCATACAACTCTGAACTCCTATTTAGAGTTGAAGTTTAGAGTTTCATTCCTGACTTATAAGAAATAATTCTTGTGATTCAGAGTTATGCTCATAGATACTTTTCAGACTTAGATGACAACTCTTAATTTTTTTCTTCACAGTCAAAGTCCAGAGTTATTTTACAGCCTAACAACACAACTCTGAATTCTTGTGCTACAGAGTTAAAGTTCAGAGTTTCTTTGCAGGCCCGAGGACAAGTCTGAACCCCTTTTCCTCAGTGAAAATTAGAGTTGTCTTTCAGACTTATAAGACATACAGATATAAAAGTCTAAGGACAAATCTGCAGTCCTTGTTTAAAATTTAGAGTTGTCTTTCAAACTTATAAGGCATACAAGTATGAAAGTCTGGGAAAATTTGAGTTGTAAGTCTGAATTTAACTTCCAAGTGTAATTCAAACTTGTAAGTATGAATGTAGAAATTCAAATGAAGTCTAAGCTTTGAAGTCCTCAGGTATTGGTTATTTCTTAGACTTCCAACATAACTTTGATTTTTTCTGTTCCAGACTTAGTTCCATAGTTTATTCCTAGATTTAGAATACAACTATGAACTCCTCTTCAGAGTTGAAGTTCAGAGTTACATTTCTGAATTTTAAGAAGTCAGGATTCTTGTGATTTAGAGTTATGCTCATACATACTTTCTAGACTTAGAAGACAACTCTGAAATTTCTTATCCAGAGTTAAGTCCAGAGTTATTTTCCAGCCTAACAACAGAACTCTGAATTCTTATGTTTAAGAGTTAATGCGCAAAGTTTTCTTTTAGACCTGAGGAAAAGTCTCAACTCATCTTCCTCATTTAAAATTCAAAGTTGTCTTCTAGACTTATAAGACATACAAGTATGGAAGTCTGGGAAAATCAGAGTTGTAAGTCTGAATTTAACTTTGAAGTGTCCTCCAGACTTCTAAGTATGAATGTAGCAATTCAAATGAAGTCTGACCTGTGAAGTCTGAACTACATCAAGTATTGTTTATTTGCCAGACTTACAACATAACTCTGAATTGTTCTGTTTCAAACTTATTTTCATAGTTACATCACAGACTTCGAATACAACTCTGAACTGCTCTTCAGAGTTGAAGTTCAAAGTTTCATTTCTGACTTATAAGAAATCAGAATTCTTGTGATTCAAATTTATGCTCATAGTTACTTTCCAGACTTAGAAGACAACTCTGAATTCCTTTTATTCAGAGTTAAAGTCTAGAGTTATTTCCAGTCTAACAACACAACTATGAATTCTTGTTCTTCAGAGTTAGTGTTCAGAATTTTCAGACCTGATTACAAGTCTGAACTCATCTAGATAAAGTTCAGTTTTATTCTGACTTATTTTCTAGGCTATACAATTATCCAATTAGTATTGTAATCATAATATAACAGGGATTTAGTTTTAAGTTTCAATTCAAATTCCGATTCTTCTTTATCTATTTTACAATTGACTTACTTTCATTTTCTATTGTAATCCCAAAAAAAAATCATAAATTAGTTTAAGTTTGGATTCAAATTCTGTTTTTTCCTCATCAACTGTGGCTTTAAATTGTAGGTGAATTTTGCTACTATTCATCACTCAGATTGACAACAAATCTCAGCTTCAAACGCCCATAGTGAACCATAGTTGTTTATCTGCTGTAAGGTATAATAAGTTTCATACACTATGTAAGTACTCACTTTATGATTAATTGATTAATGTTCTGTCTTTTACAGAATAATGGATGTGTGGAATGTTACTCTGATTAAAGATCTTGACATACAAAAATATGATTTCATTGTAAAGGTCAGAATAATTCGATTATGAAACCAACCGGTATTTAAAAATCTTGATCAAATATATTCCATCAAGATGATATTAATGGATGAACATGTAAATTCTTATTTCTTTTCGAATCTTTAGTATTGTATTCATCATATTTTGTTATTACCTCGGATTGGTAATATTTTCGTATTGTTGATACTCAGTCCTATTCCATATTAATGTTTTTAGGGGACTAAGATCCATGCCAATGTTCTACAAAAATTGGTGCCCAATTTCAAAAGTTTGCTTCATGAAGGGGTTGTTGTATTCATCAAAAATCCTACAATTGTTCGACATTCCTTCAAATACAAGATAATTGATAATACAAAAAAGTTAAGTTTGTATTACAAAACATCGGCTACCATGTGCCTGGATTTTAATGGTTACGTATTTGGTTTTTCACATGTCAAGTTTCAATATGTTATATCAAAGATAATTCCAGAACATGCAGCAATTGGTTAGTCAATTAAATTATCTCATATTTTTTATATTTTTCAAATAAATTTTATTATATTCTATTATTCATATTAGAGTTCTTCATATTGATTTTTTAATCATTATATAGATGTGATTGGTGAGGTTGTAGCCTGTGAGACAATGATCAGTTTTCCAGATGACAATGGACAAGCGAAGAGGCGAATGCAGATTGAAATACATTATTTGGGGTTAGTATTTTTATTTTAATAGACTAACACTAATATTCACGAAGTATTTAATTCCTTTGAAGTTATTTATGGGGCTTAAATTCCATGTTACATTGTAGGATTTTTTTGCTCAGCAATTTAAAGTAATTTTTAAATTTATTCATTATTAAGTACTTAAAATAACATATGCCATTGTTATCTTATTTGAAGGATGTTGTTTCATGTATGGGTGAGAATGCAATGCGATCTGATGTCAATTAGAGCACAACAGATAGACTGGAATCACAAGGGAAAAATGTATGAGAAAAAGATGTGAAAGGGTGTTGATGTGAACTTGAGGTTGATGAATTTTGTGATGCCGATGATGCAGTCAAAGGGTCGGCAAGAAAATCTCTTAAAATCTGCAATCTTGAGAAATGACATGGTTACTTATGATGGACAACTATTTTAATTGTTTTTTATCCTGTTTATTTTGGGTGCCTTGTGTTTTGAACATAATTTTTTGGAATTGTTGGAATTATTTTGTTATATACTTGGTTTGCTGATTTATTTGGCTTATGTTAGTAAATTTATAACTATCAGTAGGCAATTGTGTTGTTTTGATTGCCCCAAAGGTGCTATTAAGTATTCTCCCTTGCAGAAGAAGATGAGTAGTGTGAAGTTTGTGCCCTATTTTTCCAGACTTATAGGCATAAACTCTGGTTCCTTCTTATGCAGACTTAGAAATATGAAGTTTTTTTTTCCAGACTTAAAGACAAACTTTGGTTTCCATTTTCCCCAGATTTATAAGTATGAACTCTGAGCACTTTTGGTCCAAACTTATAGGCATAAAATTTGACTCATTTTTTTCCAGACTTACAGGCATAAAATCTGGCATAAAATCTGAACCCTTTTGTCCAGACTAACATAAACTTTGGTTTCTTCTTTTGAAGATTTGGAAGTATGAAGCCTTTTTTCACAGACTTAAAGGCATTAACTCTGGTTCCTTCATTTCCAGAATTAGAAATATAAACCCTTTTTTGCAGACATAGAGGCATCATTCTGGTTCCTTCTTTTCTGGATTGAAAAGTCTGTAGTTTGAACCATTTTTCTTCAGACTTATAGACAAACTCTGCTTTCTTCTTTTGCACAATTAGTAGTGTAAAGTCTGCCCCTTTTTCTTCAAACTTACAAGCATAAACTGTGGTTCCTTCTTATGCAGACTTAGAACTATGAATT